ATCTCTCAACTACACCTGTACTTTCAGTGTTTTTCCAATTATGCAAGTCTACATTGTCTGGGGGATAGTTGCCTCATAAAAAGCCCTTTGAGAACAGAATAAGGACATAATTGCAGACAATGCTAGCTCAGAGGACAACTGAAGGCAGGGAAGCTTTGTTTTCTGTTGCCTACATTATCCAATACAAAAAAGGAGCATAACTACTTCCTTTCACCCCCTTCTAGAAGTGCCGAGAAGAGAAGGAAACTGGCAGATATGGGTGTCATCAATTTCATCAATGACCAAGCACTGTGCACTCTATACTAGGGAGAGGACATGGGCTCCAGGCTCTGTTCTAAGCATGTTCCTTCTGGGCCTTATCTCTCTTATCTATAGAATGAGAATCTAAAATTAAAGGGTCTCTAAAACAACTGTACCTCTCAAAAGTCAGGAGCTTTTCTTTTTCATGGATTCTGCCAGCTCCTGCTCTGAGCACTTTTTAAAAAACTATTTGTCTAATGAAAAACCTTTAGAAGTCATTATTGATGAATAAAATACATACAAAAAAAGCATACTCATAATAGTATAGCTTGATGAATTTTCACAAACTCATCACATCTATGTAACCAGTGCCCAAATTAAGAAACAGCATGTCTCTGCAACCCAGAAATACACTCATGGCCCTTCTTAAATCACAACTTCCTGAAGAGTGTTATACATAATATAAGCTAAGGTAAATTTCAATACAGTGTGCATTGCCGGGGGTGGGGGTGAAAGCATTTCATAGTGATACAAGAATTGATTGATTAGCAAGACATAATAATCCTAAACATGAACACTTTAAGGGCTTTAAAATACAAGGAGAAGCAAAACTCTGTCCTCTGTTTCTTCAAATCAGAAAGACTGCAGGTATTCTTTTGGAGTTTTAGTCACTCTTCATGTAGCTGAATGCAGCCTACCATCAGCTAAAAACCCTTTAAAATATGGGAAAGTGATACCATGCCATGCTCTTATTCTACCTGATGTCTCCCATTTAAAATCTGTTTATTTTTGCTATTTTCACGTGAATTCAGGCTTTAGCCCTCCTTTACCACATCCCACCCTCCAGGGATTTTGTCAGTTATGTGTATGATAGTTGTCCTGGAAAAAATTTATTTGGCCGTTTTAGAAATGGAACACTCACTGACGTTTTATGTATTCCAGTGTAGAGATCTTACGTATCTTTCATTAGATTTACTTACAAGCTATTTGATATGTTTAAATACTATTGTAAATAAAATATTTTTTCTTGAAATTTTAATTGTGTATATATAACCAGAAAAATACAATTGATTTCAGTGTATTGACTGTGTGACCAATGGCTTGATAAATTCACTTATTCTAATGGTTTATTCAGTAGATTCTTTCATATGTCCAGATTGTATTCAATCACAGGTTCTATAAAGAAAGACAGTTTTAGTTCCTACTTTTCATAACTTACACTTTTTATTTATTTATCTTGCCTATTGTACTGGCTAGATTCTCTAACATAAATTAAAATAGAATTGTTCATAGTAGATGCTATTTCCTTTTTTCATTTTCAGAATAAAACTTTTAATATTTTTCCCTGTGTGACATTGATGTCTGTTTTTAAAGGTACCCTTTATCATAATTTTAAAAAGTCTATTTTTTATTTTTAACTTACTGAGTGCGTCTCTTCTTAAATATGTTTACTTTATTAAAATTTTTTTCTATATATTTTTATATGAATATAGAATTCTTTATTCTTTAAGTGTGTAAAATTACAGTGGATGGTATTTCAACCATTAAAGACCTCTTTCAGCCATAGAATACCATCACTTGGTGACATCTTACTATCTATCTAACTGGATGTACATCTTCCTACCTGTCTACCTCTATCTCTATTATATTTGCTTTTAATTTTAGGAAACCATCAGTCTTTTATAACATCTTTCAGAGACTAGAAACATAATGGGCATTTCACAATTTTGTTATATATCTTGGTATACCATTTTCTTCTAGCTTATGTTGTTTGTGTTGAAAAGCCAGCTGTTACTCTTGTTGTCATCCCTATGAAGACATTGTCAAGAAATATTGCGTGTGTGTGTGTGATTGTGTCTTGGCTTTTATAATTTCCTCTTTTTATTTAGTTTGAGCAGCTTTCCTATGATATGGGGAGGAGTGCCTCTCTTTGACTTCGCTTTGCTTGGATAGCTCAGAAGTTTATATAACTACAGTATAATACATATTTTATGAATTTCAGAAATTGCATTGGCTGTTATGTCTTCAAATATTGCTTCTGCCTTGTTTTTTTCTACTTTTTTTCTCTAGGGCTGCAAGTATTAGAGCAGTAGACTTTTCACTATGTCCCATGTGTCTTTTATGTTCTTTTAAAAAATTATTTTACCTTATTTGGTTTCTTTGTACTTCAATCTTTTCTATTGATTTATTGTTATGAACTAAATTGTGTCCCCTCCAAAACTCATATGTTGAAGACTTAATCCCTATAGCCTCAGAATGTGACTGTATTTGAAAACAAGGTCTTTAAAGATGTGATTACATTAAAATGAAGCCATTAGGATGGGACCTAATGTACTCTGAATCGAGTCCTTATAAGAAGAAGAAATTTGGGCGCACAAAGAGACACTAGGACCACCTCATGTAGAGAAAAGACCTTGTGCAGACACAGAAAGAAGATGGCCATCTGCAAACCAAAGAGAGAGGTTTCAGAAGAAACCAAACCTACTTACACCTTGATGTCCTAGACATCTAACTTCCAGAACAGTGAGAAAATAAGTTACTGTTGTCTAAGTCACCCAATCTGTGGTATTTTTGTGGTTTTGTTCTCGTAGCCCTGGTAAACTATGTTTTCCATTTGCTGATTCTATCTCTAGCTGTGCTTATTCTCTTAAAACTATCTATTGAATTCTTAATTTAAGTTTCAGGAATTCAACCTTTAAAAATGATTCCAGTTTTAAGGTAAAATTATCTATATTTACCTAGTTTTAAAAATTATCTATATTTACTTACTAATATTTTAAAGTCTAGATATGATGATTGCAATGTCAATAACTTACAATGCTGTTTCTAACATCTGTAATTTCTCCTTATTGGTGTTTATTTTTTGTTTTTATTTCCTTGCATGGTGTTTGATATGGTTTGGCTCTGTGTTGCCACCCAAATCTCATCTCGAATTATAATCTCCATGTGTCAAAGGAGGTACCTGGTGGGAGGTGATTGGATCATGAGTGTGGCTCTTACAATAGTGAGTGAGTTCCCTTGCGAGCTGATGGTTTTAAAGTGTGGCAATTCCTCGCTCTCTCTCTTTTCTGCTACCATGTAAGACAGGCCTTGCTTCCCCTTCACCTTCCACTATGATTGTAAGTTTCCACACGTAGAAAAGCCATGTAGAAGTATGAGTCAATTAAACCCCTTTTATTTATAAATTGCCCAGTCTCAGGTAGTATAAAATGAATGAATATAGAGAATGTGTTATTTGTTATTATTATTTAGTACTGAACATTGTATGTGAAAATTGTAATGACCTGGAGGATATAATGACCTAGAGGATATTATCTTCCTAAAGGGAGGATATCTTTTCTAATATGCAATTAGAGTACAGGCATATAAGCATGATGCATTTGAACTTTGTTGATTTTTGGATTGCCTTTACTTTTAGGATGCAGCCCTGTAGAAGTTCCTATTAAAATTTTGAACCCCTCCTCATCAGCAGCTCTGCAGTCTAATTTTGTTTTTCTAACATCATAACACTGTTAAAACTCTGCTTCAATATGAAGCCACTTAGCATCTACTTTCTGCCTCTTTCCTGAGCATTTCTTCCCTGATGGTTTATTTCTTCTGACATGGACAGCTTAGGAATTTTCATATAATTCAATGGCAAAGTATATTATAAGTGTTATTCAATTCTCTGTGGATTATTTTTTTTTTCTACTTCACCACTTTATTTCTTTTTCTTGTATCTGGTTGTGTTGGTTGTCCTGAAATCCAACATCTGCTTCTAATGTCCAGTGAGATTGTCACAAACCCCAGAGAAGTACTTTCTTTTCAGCTTCTGTGTCCTGTGATGTGAATTAGCCAATACCCAATGTTAGCAGTCTTTTCGCCTCAGTGAGTTTCTCTTTTATTTAGGATGTTGGCTGGTAAAGACCTTACTGCTTTATTGCTTTCTGATATATTCCAATAGTTTCAAAATTAATTTTATCCAGTTTTTATAGTTGCTCTCAGCAAGGGTATTGATATGATATCAACTGCATTGTCATAGTCTAAAATGAAAGTTTCTCACTGTTTAAACATTTATAGTATTAACGTCTTTGGTTATCTCAATGTTATCTTCATTTTACAGACCAGAAAAATCAAATAAATAAGAGCATAAACAGCTTGCCCAAGGTCACATAGTAAATTGCAGAGCAATATTTCAGCAAAGAAAGTTTGACTCCAGAAGCCACGCTTTTTACCACTATGCTATACTCCAAATGAGATAAAACTCAAATACTAGTGGTACACACACACACACACACACACACACACACACACACACACACACATATACACTTCATATATATATGGAGTGAGACCTTGTCTCAAAAAAAATAAATATATAAGTATATTTTAAGACAAGGTCTCACTCTATTGCCCAGGCTGGAGTGCAGTGGCATGATCACAGCTCACCATAATCTCAACCTCTCAGCTGAAGAGGTCCTCCAACCTCAGTATCTGAGTAGCTGGGACTATAAGCACATGCCACCATGCCCAGGTAATTTTTATATTTTTAGTAGAGACAGGGTCTCACTATGTTGCTCAATCTGGTCTTGAACTCTTGGGCTCAAGTAGTCACTCACTTTGGCCTCCCAAAGTGCTTTCATTGCAGCCCCTAGCCTATATTCTTATTTATCTCTTTAAATAAAAGTTATGTCGGTAGATGATATTACAGGGCCACTACCACAGCCCTATAGCATCTCAGTCATCACAGTTATGTTTCAGGAAGTCAAGGCAAGAAATAGTGGGTAGTGTCTAAATAAGAAAAGCACGTATTACTTCCCAGAAATTCTAGCATATAGCTGCTTATATTCCCCTGAGACTCCCTTAGCTGTCATGGGCACTCTTAGATCCAAGGGAATCTGAGAAGAATCTTATTTGTTGACTGTGCTCAAGTATGCAATGAGCAGCTAAACAAGCTGAATACGTTTTCAGTTTAGATTGCAAAAGCTGTCATACAGATTTTACTTTTTTTCATAAAATAATTTTCATCATCCAATAAAAAAATGTATAAGCAGAACTCCTGGTTCTATTCCTGCAATGATGATGTGCTCATATCAAGCACAGATTGTCTGTGTACATGGACACAGATGATTCATTTGGTTCTAAGAAAATCCCAAAAGACTGCAATTTATTTTCCTGTAATAGCTTGTATGAATTTGCTGTGGACATGGCCCAGTTTATGAAGACTGTGTGAGAAATGAAACAGAGGCTATTGTTTTATTGAATTTAGAGATACTGTACTTTCAAAAAATTAATATATTATATTACATTTATTAACTTTTGAATGTTAAAATAATTTATTTGTGAAATACTTTCACTTGGTTATGTTGCCTAACATCCTCACATGTTGCTAGATTCTGTTTGCTAGTGTTGTTTTAGATTTCTTTATCTATATTCATGAGGAATAATGGTCTGTACAGTAATTTTCTTGTGAAGTTTTTGTCTGGTTTTGTAATCTGGGTAATACTTGCCTCAAAAAATAAATTGATGTTTTCCTTCCTTTTCTGTTTTTTTTATTTTTTGTGAAAGTTTTTTTTTTTTTTTTTTTTTTTGCTTTTTTTTCACTTTTATTTCAGGCTCAGGGGGCACATGTGCAGGTTTGTTCCATGGGTAAATAGTGTGTCACTGAGGTTGAATGTATGAATGATCCCATCCATTACCTAGGTGGTGAGCACAGTAGCTGAAACTTTTTCAACCCTCAACCCCTTCCTGCGCATCTCCCTCCAGTAGTCCCCAATGTCTATTATTTCCATCTCTATGTCTGTGCATGCTCAGTCTAGAAGTGGGAACATTTGGTATTTGGTTTTCTGTTCCTTTGTTAATTCACTTAGGATAATGGCCTCCAGTTATATTGATGTTGCTACAAAAGACATAATTTCATTCTTTTTTATGGCTGCATAGTATTCCACAGTGTATATGTACCACATTTTCTTTATCCAGTCCACCGTTGGTGGGCATCTGGGTGGATGTCATATCTTTGCTCTTGGGAATAATGCTGCCATGAACATATGAGTACATGTGTCTTTTTGGTAGAAAGATTTATTTTCCATTGGTTATATCCCAGTAGTGCAATTTCTGGGTCTTGCAGTTTTTGTTGTTGTTGTTTTGAGATGGAGTCTTGCTCTGTCACCAGACTGGACCACGGTGATGTGACCTCAGCTCACTGCAGTCTCTGCTTCCCTGGCTCAAGCAGTTCTCATGCCTCAGCCTCCTGAGCAGCTGGGATTACAGGTGTGCACCACCACACACAGCTACTTTTTTTTTTTTTTTTTTTTTTGTATTTTTAGTAGAGATGGGGTTTCTCATATAGGTAAATTGTATGACTCAGGAGTTTGGTGCATAGATTATTTCACCACCCTAGTAATAAGCGTAGTATCGAAAAGGTAGTTTGGTTCTTACACTCCTCCACTTCCACTCTCAAGTAGATTCCCACAGCTGTTCTTTCCTTCTTTGTGTCCATATGTACTCAGTGTTTACTGTCACTTAAAAGTGAGAACATACAATATTTGATTTTCTGTTCCTATGTTAGTTTGTTTAGGATAGTGGCCTCCAGCTCCACCCACGTTGCTGCAAAGGACGTGCTCGTGTTTATTTTATAGATCCAAACTATTCTATGATGTATATGCACCACCACCTTTTTTTTTTTTTTTGATCCAGTCTATCATTGGTGGGCATTTCGGCTGACCCCATGTATTTGCTATTGTGAAGAGTACTGTCATAAACCTACATAAGCATGTATCTTTATGATAGAATGATTTATAATCCTTTGGATATATACCCAATAATGGGATCATTGCATCAAATGGTAATTCTGCTTCAAGTTCTTTGAGAAATTGCCAAACTGCTTTCCACAATGGCTGAACTAATTTACATTACCACCAATATTATATAATTTCCTTTTCTCCACAGCCTCACCAGCATCTGTTATTTTTTGACATTTTAGTAATAGCCATTATGACTGGTGTGAGATGGTAACTCACTGTGGTTTTGATTTGAATTTCCCTAATGATTATTGAAGTTGAGCATTTAAAAATATTTTTTTAGCCATATCTATGTCATCTTTTGAAAAGTGTTCATGTTATTTGCCTACTTTTTGTTGAAGTTTTTTTGGTTTTTGCTTGTTAAATTGTTTAAGTTCTCCAAAGATTCTGGATTATTTTACCCGTGTCTATACATAGTTTGCAAATACGTTCTCCCATTCTGTAGGTTGTCTGTTTACCCTGTTAATAGTTTCTTTTGCTGTGCAGAAGCCCTTTAATTAGCCCCTGTTTGTCAATTTTTGTTTTTTTGCAAATGTTTTCAGCATCTTCATCAGGAAATCTCTGCCAGATCCTGTGCCTAAATAGTATTTCTTAGGTTATCCTCCAGGGTTTATATAGTTTTAGAGGTGACATTTAAGTCTTTAATCCACCTTGAGTTGATTTTTGTATATGGTGTAAGGAAAGGGACCAGTTTCTGTCTTCCATTTATTCCATCACCATTAATTTAACAGGGTGTCTTTCTCACTGCTTTCTTTTGTTGACTTTGTCAAAAATCAGATGGTTGTAGGTGAGCAGCATTATTTCTGGGCTCCTTATTCTATTCAATTGCTTTATATGTCTGTTTCTGTAACAGTGCCAAGCTGTTTTATAAATGGAATTACATTCTTGATATGGCCCTCAACTTGGATGTTGTTGGTCTATAGGAATGCTACTGATTTTTGTATGTTGATTTTATATCCTGACATTTTGCTGAAGTTGTTTACCAGATCTCAGAGTTCTGGGGCAGAGACTACAGGCTTTTCAGGAATAGAATCATATTAGCTGCAAGCAGGAATAGTCTAAGTTTCACTCTTTCTATTTAGATGCCTTTTATTTCTTTCTCTTGCCTGATTGCTTTGGTCAGGACTTCCAGTACTGTGTTGAAGAGGAGTGGTGAGAGTGGGCATCCTTGTCTTATTCTGGTTTTCAAGAGGAATGCTTCTAGCTTTTCCCATTATGTATGTTGTTGGCTGTGAGTTTGTCATAGATGGCTCCTATTATTTTGAAGTATGTTCCTTCAATGTTTAGTTTGTTGATGGTTTTTAACATGATGTGACAGTGAATTTTCTCAGAAGCCTTTTCTGCATATATTGAGATGATCATGCGGTTTATGTTTTAAGTTGTGTTGATATAATAAATTACATGTTTTGATTTGTGTATACTGAACAAACCTGGCATACCAGATAGAAAGCCTACTTGAGTGTGATGGGTTAATTTTTTATGTCTTGTTGGATTCAATTTTCTAGTATTTTATTGAGGATTTTCTCATCTATGTTCATCAAAGATATTGGTCTGAAGTTTTCTTTTTTTGTTGTGTCTCTGCCAAGTTTTTGGTAGCAGGATGATGCTGGATAGAATGAGTTAGTGAGGAGTCCTTCCTCCTAAATTTTTTGGAATCATTTCAGTAGGAGTGGTACCAGCTCTTCTATACATCTGGTAGAATTACGTTATGAATTCATCTGGTCCTGGGCTTCTTCTGATTATTAAACATTTTATCACTGATTTAATTTTGAAACTCATTATTGGTGTGTTCAGAAATTTAATTTCTTCTGTGTTCAGTCTTAGGTAACTGTATGTTTTCAGGAATTTGTCCATTTCTTCTAGGTTTTCTAGCTTGTGAGCATGGAATGTTCTTAGTAGTCTCTGAGAATTTTTCTTTTTTTTTTCTTACAGGGTGAGTTTTCACATTCCCTTTCTCTCTCTCTCTCTCTCTCGGTCTAGCTGTTAATCTATTCATCCTTTAATCTTTTTTGTTTATTTTATTTTTTCAAAAAACAACTCCTAGATTCATTGATCTTTTATGTGTTTTTTTTGGTGTCTCAATTTCCTTCAGTTTCTCTCTAATTTTTATTATTTCCTTTCCTCTGTTTGTTTTGTTTTGGGTTTGCTCTTGTTTCTCTAGTTCCTCTAGCTTGACGATAGGATGTTATTTTGAGATCTGTTTTTATTTTTTTCTTTTGGCATTTATGAGTGCTATGACTCTCCTCTTAACACTGATTTAGTTGTGTCCCAGAGATTCTGACATGTTATATCTTCTCATTAATTTCAAAGAATTTTTTTATTTCTGTCCTAATTTCATTATTTACCCAATAGTCATTCAGGAACAGGTTGTTTAATTTATATGTAACTGTGTAATTTTGAGCTATTTTCTCAGTATTGATTTGTATTTTTATTACATTGTGATCCAAGAGTACAATACCAGTGATTTTGGTTTTTTGAAATTTGCTGAGGATTGTTTTATGTCTGAATGTGTGGTTGATGTTAGAGTATGTGCCATATTTAGATGAGAATGTGTATTCTATTGTTTTGGGTGGAGAGTTCTTTAGATGTCTATTACATTCATTCATATTGAGTTTGGGTCCCGAATATCTTTTGTTAGTTTTCTGCCTCAGTAATCTGTCTAATACTGTCAATGGGGTATTAAAGTGTCCCAATATTATTGTATGGTTATATGAGGCACTGTGTAGGTTTCTAAGAACTTACTTTATGAGTCTGGGAACTCCTGTGTCTTGTGCATTTATATTTAGGATATTTAGGCCTTATTGTTGAATGGAGCCTTTTATCATTATGTGATGTCCTTCTTTGTCATTTTGACCTTTGTTGTTTTAAAGTCTGTTTTGTCTGAAGTTAGAATAGCAGCTCCTACTTTTAGTCTGTTTTCTATTTTCTTGGTATATTTTCTTCCATCCCTTTATGTTGAGTCTATGGGTATCACTGCATATTAAATGGGTCTCGAAGACAGCATACCATTGGGTCTTGCTTCTTTATCCAATTGCCAATATGTGCGTTTTAATTGGGGCATTTAGCCCATTTACATTCAAGGTTAGTGTTAATATGTGTGGATATGATCCTGTCATTGGATTGTTAGCTGGTTATTACACAGATTTATTTGTGTGGTGGCTTTATACTGTCACTGGTCTATGTACTGAAGTTTGTTTTTGTAGTGGCCAGTAATGATCTTTCCATATTTGGGACTCCGTTTACAACCTTTTGTGAGGCAGGTCTGGTGCTAACAAATTTTCTTAGCATTTGCTTGTCTGAAAAAGATTTTGTTTTTCCTTTGCTTATGAACCTTAGTTTGGCTGGATATAAAATTATTGGTTGGAAATTACTTTCTTTAAGAATGTTGAATATAGGCCGCCAATCTCTTCCGGCTTGTAGTAGTGTTTATCCTGAAACATTCATTTTTAGCCTGATGAGGTTCTCTTTGGGTATAACCTGACCCTACTCTCCAGTTACCTTTAATATTTTTTTCTTACAGAATCTAATGACTATGTGTCTTGGAGATGGTCTTCTTGTGTCACATTTCACAGGAGTTGGTTACATCTCCTGAATTTAAATGTTGACATCTCTATATAGGTTGGGGTAGTTTTCATAGACAATCTCCTGAGATATGTTTTCCAAGCTGCTTGTTTTCACTCCTTCTCTTTTAGGGACACCTATGAGTCATAGGTTTGGTGCCTTTACATAATCCCATATTTCTTGGAGGTTTGGCTATTTTAAATGTTTGTTATTTTAAACATTCTTCTTTATTTTTATCTGACTGAGTTATTTCAGAGAACCAGTCTTTGAGCTGTGAGATATTTTCCTCAGCTTGGTCCATTCTGCTATTAATACTTGCAAGTGTATTCTGAAATTTTTGAAGTGAGTTTTTCAGCTCTATCAGATGGGTTTAGTTCATTCTAAATATGATCATTTCATCTTTCATCTTCTGTATTATATTATATTCCTTAAAATTCATTAATTTGGTTTTGACTTTCTCCCAAATCTTGATGATCTTCATTCCTATTCATATTCTGAATTCTATTTCTGCCATTTCAGACTGGTTAAGGATCATTGCTGGGGAACTAGTATAGCTGTTTAGAGGTAAGAAGACATTCTAGCTTTTTGAGTTCTTGCTTTGCTCTTCCTCATCTTTATGATCTCATGCTCCTTCACTCTTTGATGTTGCTCTCCTTTGAATGAGTTTTTTGGCTTTAATCTTTAATGCCCTTGGAAGTTTCATTGTGGTATAAGGTGGGTTTAGTTGACTGGCTTCATTTATGGAAGACTTTAGAAGGTCAAGGAACAGCTTGGCACCCATAAGCTGCATGCTTTAATTCTGGGGGGCTGGTATTGGACCCTGAACTTTGTTCTCTGGCCCCTTGAGGTTAGAAACCTGTGCATTGGAAGGGCTGAGGCCACCAGGACTGGTGGCCACTACAATCTATTGGGTAGTGCCAGCTAAAACATTGCATCAGGTGGTGGCAGCACTCATTTGTCTGTGCCAGCAGCAGCAGCATGGTGGAGTACCCACTCATAGGGTGGGGTGAGGCACTGGTGGGCACAGGGTTGCTGGCCTTTATGCAGGCATTGGCAGCAGTGGCAGCACAGAGGGTGAGAAGGGTTGCTGGCCTCTATATGCATGCATTCACACTGGCAATGGTGGCATGGCTGGGAGTGGGGTACACTCACACTGGGAACAGAAGCCTGTTGGGGTGCATGCACACACACTTGCTGGCAGGTAAGTGGAGGCAAGGTCCGCCTGCATTCTCATGCTTCAGCAAGGCAATGGGGTAGGTGGACATGGGCAAGTATGTGCCAGCAAAGTGGCATGTGGGAGGTTGCCATGGGATTAGGGTGTGGATGGACTTGTGTGTCTCAGCGGGGACCACTCTGCTGGAGCTCTCCAATGGTCAGGCACAGTCTTCCAGTGCAGAAACTATGATGCAGGTCCCCAGGAGGCAAGCATCCCACTTGGACATCTTAGCCTGCTCACTTAAAGGTAGGAGGAACCCAAAGTGTCCAGGTGGCAATCTTAACTTCCAGTTTAATGAAATTGTTGTGTCTTCTGCTGGCAGCATTCCTCACTCTGGAACTAAGACCTCTAGGCTGGCAGAACATAATGTTTCAGGGACAGGAAGCAAAAATTTTGCTAGTGAATCACTAGGTGTGATGGTGAGTGGTGTCACTTCCACTTCCGCCTCTTGATTCCTGGGCCCTCATGTTGCATTGGCATCACAGGGACTCTAAATTGACTTTTGAGCAGGAGTTGGTAAGTGAGAAAACTGGATGAAAGAGAAGTGGGAGTTAAGTTGGTAGGTAGGGAGCAAGTAGAAGCTGCCTCTGGTTCTAACTGTCTTTTTGGGCTCAGTGAAAAAGATCTAGATGAAACTTTCAGGATGTTGAATTACTACTGTTAGGTAAGTTGGAGCAATCAAAATCATAAACATCTGGACTCCAATAGTGGGACTGGCAAAGTGAGTCCCACATTCACAGTAGGTCCCATTGATGTAATCCGAAGTCCTTACATTCCACTGATGTCTGCCATCAAATGACTCTGATCCACAAAGTATTACCAGAGGCTCCCAAATTTTGGAAATTCCAATGCTAACTTTTCTTCCCAACTGGTCAGTACTGTTCCAGGCCTGCAACCAACTAAACTATTACTAATTGCCAATTGATAATGGTATCTTACTCATCTTTCTAGTTCCCATCAGACCCTTTAAAAATCGTTCCTTACAATAGCAATGGTGTTCATTACTTACACACAAAATCTCCTGTTCAAAAATCTCTGCTTGACTTTACTATGTTGAACAATAAACAGTAGGCTTCTTCACTGGAATCCCAGGTCATACATGATGGAAGTCTAGCTTACTTGCCCCCTTTCCCACCCACTGTCTACAGTTTCCCTTTCCCACTTAAAGACTTTCTAATTGGATTAGAGTTCTCCAGATAAAAGTGTGTGTGTGTGTGTGTGTGCGCGCGCGCGCGCGCGCACGCGTGCGCGAGTGCGCATGCAGAGAGATATAGCGAAACAAAGAGTGACTGGTTTACGTTAAGGAATTGGCTTACATGATTGTCAAGGCTGACAAGTCAAAAATCTGCAAGGTAGAATGGCAGATTGAAGACCCAGGTGAAGAATTGATGTTTCAGCTCTAAGTCTAAAAGCAGTCTGCTCACAGAATTCCTTCTTCCTCAGGGAAACTTTATTTTTTTCTCTTAAGATTTTCAACTGGTTGGATGAGGCCCACCCACAATACTGGAGGTCATTGGCTTCACTCCAAGTTTTCTGATTTAAATGTTCCTCTGAACTAAAAAATTCCTTCATAGCAAGATTTAAATTGGTGTTTGAACAAATATTTAGATACTGTGGCCCAACTAGGTTGACACATAAAATTAATCCTCACACCAACTGACACACATCATTTTCTAACACTAGATGTGCTTTTATCATCTCTGAATGTTGGTTATCACTAGTCTTAGGTTAGGAATACTTTCTTTCTAGTCTTTTGAATCGTATGAGTCTGTCTAGTTAAAAAAGGCTCAAGCTTGCTGCCTCTTCTTTCTTGAAATTTTCTCTGGTCTTCCCAAATTTAAGTCATCAAAATTTCTTCATACTCTTAGAGTGTTATGCTTTACCTTAGCAAGTCTCAGACTATGTCTTGGATTCCAGTCATTGATGTGCTCATGTGTTTCCTCCAGGAGTGGAGGACATTATCTTAGGGAACAAGTGCAGAGTCAGATGTTCACTAGATTGTGTAGAGTCAGAAGTCAATAAATAAAAGATAAAGGCATAAGTCCGATATGAGTTTGATTATCATGAAAAGTTATTATTTTGCATTTTGAAGTGCAAGCAAAGGTCGTAAGGTCATGCAAAGCTCCTTGCCTGAGTTTTGGGGTGGAACACTTTCTTTTGACTTGGTAAGCATGGGCTGGTAAATTCATATCCTTAGGGTTTTACACAGGTGCTAAGAAGAGGAAAATTGATATTAGAAAATGTCTTTTTCTTCTGCATGTGAATAAAGCTGGTGAATATGCTTCACTCTCTGTGAGTGATATATGTTCAGATATTTTAGCATAAGAGCAGACATTAAAGAGAGACTCATCGGTTTTACATCTGTCATTTCACATCTGTTTCCACGCTGAAGGACAGTTCAGCATTGGGAGAAAAAAGCAACACACCCTCACACACCAAACAACCAGACCTTCCTTATTGCTCCTGTTTTGCTTGTTAATCTCTCCCCAAAGAAGTTATGAACTCATTGCAATGCAGTCTAAGTAAAATCCCCAGGGAACAACCTCCACTATATTTGTGTATGTTATAGAGTCACACTTACTTAACACTCTGAACTTGTTTTCTTTTGTTACCTAGATTTATTAAGGTATATTTCAAATAAAATTGCAGAGTTTGCAGTGTACAATGCAATGTCTTGATCTATATATGCGTTGTGAAATTAGTACCACAATCAAGCTAATTAGCAAATTAATCATCTAAAATAGTTATCCTTTGTGTGTGTGGTAAGAATATTAAAAATCTACTCTCTTAGCAATTTTTGAGTATGCAATAT